AGAACAAGTTGAAATCTTGTTCTCCAGAACCAGGGATATATATTAAAGAACAGCGTAACCGGATAGGAAAGATGTAGACAATCGCGAATTTAATGATATGCTTTCGGAGAATGGCTAGTTTCCGGAGTCCGTGGACTTTTATCGAAACGCCAGAAACATGATTAATCCGGGAGCGGTTGTGGCTGAAAGTGGCACCGAGATATACAATAAAGTCAGATTCGAGAATGTTCTGATTATTGACAACGGTCTCGTGGAAACCGTGCAATAATATTGGATAACGGTGGCCAATTTTGGGATGATGATGATGATGAGTGTAGTGGATCGGGCAAAGACCAGTTGTGAAGTTCACTTAGGTTAGGCAGTTTTGGACGGTTTGGACCAGTCGGTGGACAGCCAGTCACCACATCGTCAGCATATTTCCAAATGATGAAGTTTCGGTGGTTTTGAATGAAGAAACGAAAAAAAGAATGGGGACCGCATAGCACCACGAAAACCACCAGACTCCGCGGGTATGAAAGAGGACTCTGTGATAGTGGATGAGAAAGAGGTAGGCAGAAGCGCTCGAAATGTTGGGTCGCAGGCCACTCTCAGAGAAACGTTAAGTAAGCGCTCCGCGGTTGAGTGAACCAAAAGCGTTCATGTAATCAAACAAATTCCAGAATAATCCCATTGTGACATCAGAACAAAATCCGAAGGCGAACAATTGTTTTCGAATGATTAATAATCGTGCCTGTACAAATCATATGAAGGTTTGTTGTTAGTGGGGACACATTTTCACGCTGGGTCGAAAGGTCATTTGGGATTGGGAGAGTGGAGGGTGTGTGTGTGAATACCCATGTGTCTGTTTTCGGGTGAGACCGATTGCGATTGGAGTGTTGGTGGTGGTGGTGGTGATGTTGATGATCAATTTGGGGCCAGGGTAAGGTAAGTGGAGAGCTTGAACCAGTCGCTTTTGTGCACATAGTTCTGGTGCGAACAGGCGAAGGCCTATCGTCTCAGCGGTAGCTGGTGTGTGTAAGCGCGCTGCTTTAGAGGGGGGGGGCACATGGTAGATTACGCTGAAAGCGGATTCTGGTCTAATTTGATGGCCTGTATCCACTAGATGGCCAAGAATAGTGCTTCCTATGCTTCCTGTTCCTCCTTGTCTTAATCAGCGTGGGTAGTATTCCTTCATCCGTTGGGATAGTTGCCTCGCCGTGCTGCCAATGCACGTTGCATTACAATCGCACTAGAAAGTGTAGATAACCAAAGACGTGGCCAGCGTAGGCAGCCTATCTTTGTGGCTAGTCTGGATGATGGGCGAACCTGTGAACATACATGATAATCGAGCTGCGTTGTAGGTCCGCTCCACTGCACGTGTCAGACATTTGTTCAAGAGGTCTGGTATAGCCTCTCCTTGTAAAGGTAGACGAATGAATAATTTCTTCTTTTGGACCTCATGAACCTGTTCGGATTGTCGCCTTTTCTGAAAGTTTCTCTCAACGAACCGTACAGGATAACCGTTTTCCCTGAGAACGTCCTTAATTTTTGCTAGTTCGTCATTTACCACATTGCCAGAATAGATCTTTCACGCTCGTGATGACTCTGAATTAAATTTCTTTTCTGTCTGAGTGGGACGAAACTGTAAAAGTGTATATTGTCCCGTCCAGCTTGGTTTTCTATGTATTCGACGCTCTAAAGAACCACCATCTCTTCGGAGGAGTGCCACATCTAGGAAGGCAAATTTATCATTTTCTTCAGTTTCCAACGTAAACTGAATTAACTAGTGAGCTTTGTTGAATCTCTGGAGCAATTTTGTCGTGTTCCTACCTTTCGACGTGAGACAGAATATGTCGTCCACGCGCAGCGGTATAGACTCATTTGCTCTGTTTCTCGCTTCAACGCTGTACTTTCTAATTTGGCCATAAATGTGTCTGCTAACAATGAGCCTAATGGGAAACTCATGGCCACTCCGTCTATTTGACGGTGTAATTATTCCATCAAATATAAATGGAACGTTGTATGTACATCTCAGCAGTATTTCCTTCAGGTTCTTCGTTGATATTCCTAAGTGTATTTGTTCAGTTTCAATGTGGCGACAGAGGAAGTCGATGGTTTCTAATAGTGGCACGTTTGTGAACAAGGACGTTACATCCAGGGAGAACATTTGATCATTCTTTACGTTCCGCTGGCCGATATTGTTCACAAATTCAAATGTGTCTCGTAAGCTGTATTTTGCGAGCTTTGTGGACACTGGTTCGGGAATTCCTACGAGCCACTTAGCAGTCTGGTGGTACGGTGAGTTGAGCATAGATAGAATTGGTCCTAATGGTATGCCAGTCTTGTGAACTTCGGGTAACCCGTAAAGGCGTGGACTGGTTGACCCAGACGGCTTTATTGCGTCGAACACGGATTGGTCTATATACCCTTGGTCCTTTAAGGATTTGAGGCTATTCACGATATGTTTCTCGTTATGTGCCGTTTTATCTTTCTCTTCACGCCCACTGTCAAATTTCTTCTTATCGGACAGTAGCTCAAACATCTTGATTTAAACGCATCTATTCATCAGAACAACTCTTGATCATTTATCTGGTCTGCTTATTTTAAGGTCTTAACGTTGCTGGATCTCTTTAAGGGCCTCCGGATATTTCCGTGCTAGCTTGAAAATGTGTCCCCACTAACAACTAACCCTTATATGATCTGCACAGGCACGATTATGACTCATTCTAAAACAAGTGTTCGCCTTCAAACTTGTGTTCTAACCAAACAAAGTCACAAGCTTCTGGTGCGTCCTTATCTAAAGTCGGTGCAACGGGAATGCACAAACAACATGAACAACAGCGTCAAATGTGGCTGGAATTTGTTTGTGGACTGATTTGAAAGAGTCATGTGAGTCACTTAAGGGTGCTCATCGGTGCGGCAGAACATTTTCAAAGACATTCAGAAACACGGACAATTGGACGAGCTTCTCTTGCGACGGAGGAGGAAATTTGATCTTA